GGCCTGAGGTTAGGCTTACACTAGGGTGAATGGATGTTAGGACCACATAGGGCCATGGTTACTGGGGAGGTCTGAGTGTGAGTGGCTTTTGCAGGGCTGCTAATGTGTCACTTGCAGGGGATGGGCAGCACATTTCACCTCTTAAAAACTTGGTTTCCATAACTATACGCTGAACATGATTAAAACACTTTAGGATTTTGTGAAGATTAAATGAGGTGATATCTGCAAAGTGCCTCTTTGATGCCTCTTTCTTGCACCTCACAATCTTAGTAAATGACAGTAGATGTTGGTAGCACAAGTAGATGGATCTGAACATTTTGAGCCGTGTAGAGCCACATGAAGCAGTGTGGATTCCTTTGGTCCTGTAGGTATCACTGGAAGTCTTCAGTTGCAGTTAAAAAATGTAGAAGAAATTCTTAGTACAGCTTAGCCTGTGGTGTGCAAGGTCATTTGGAGCTGAGAGGCTTTTGAAATAATGAGCTGCTTAGATTCTAAAACTTAAGGAAAAGGCAGAGGAAGTACCGGGAAGATCTGGATGCCAGAAACATTGTGGATTTCTGGTGGCTAAAACTTTTGATTTATGGATATAGGAAAATAAAAAAGCAGAAAGAAGCCCAGATTGCACCAAAATTGTAAGTCTGGAAGAATGCAGCTAGAGTTTAGAATTGTGAAATAGGTCAAGATGCATATTTCTGGCCACTTCCTCTCCTTCCCAATCTTGCTGTCAAGGGAAGGGCCTCTGGCCTCATCTTCTTTCACCAACTTCCAACTCTCTCCAGGGCAATAGGCCTTGAGTTGTAGACACTGTGGATGACAGCGATGGTAGCCTCATCTGTTGAAGTTATAAGTAATTTTGCAGTCATAGCAAAAATAAATTTGAGGTGTGTTTTTCAGGTTTGCTTTTTAATAGTGAAGTGCCATTCAGTGAGTGTTATTCACAATTTAACTGATCATTTTGAGTTGAGTGGCTAAGATGTTCTTTGATTTGTTGTTTTGCATTTGATTTTGAGCTAGTTTATGGTCACACAGGAGAGAGAACTAGTTATTTTCTATCATCACACGTCATTATGTATCTCAAATTGTATTACTGCTTAGCTGAATTAACTCCTTGTTTTTGGCTTTTACAGAAATCATTTGTTTTAAATACTTGATGTGTATCTCCAGTCAGGTAGTTCAAGAGCAAGTACCCCAGCTCTTAATATTCCCAGATCAATGACATTATTTTAAAGAAATTCTGATTGAGGCAAGAATCTTTTGCAAAAGGCCAGGTAGTAGATGTGTTATGCTTTGAGTCCTCGTTGTATATACATTTAAAAAATCTTTAAAAAAAGGTACAAATCATTTTTAGTTCACTGATTATGCCTTGGGGACTATAGTTTGCTGACCTGTTACTTAATCTCACTCAAAAGTTTAATTTGGGGGTGGATACCAGGGACCTTGTAAACCACTGAGCTAAACCCCTGGCCCAAAAGTTTGATCTTTTATCCCAAAGCGGATACCCAATTCCATTATTACAACAAAGATGCAGTCAATTTCTTGCTGAAACTTAAATCTTTTTGGGAAAAATCTCTCTCATCAGACTGGCTTAGCATCTTTAAGCAAATGTAGGCTATTATGCTGTTCATTTTCATAATGCTTAAGACAAAACATAGAGCATGCTTTGGCATTTTGATTTTATTACTTCTCTGAAGAACAACTTCTGAGGTGGTTCATAGTTGATATACATTTGTAGAAAAGTTTCTTGTGCTCCTGCAACCATCATCCAGATCAGAGAACTTCGTTTCTCTTTAGAGTAGTCACTAAGACATTTCTAATGTTTTTTCTACTCTTATGTCTTTTTCACTTGCTTGTGATCATTGACACTTACTGAAAAAAAAAAAATACATCCTTTTCCCCCATTTAGAATGTTAGCCATGATTTCATGGGTGAATTGCTGTGACATTTTACGTGGTTGTGACTGTTACAGTGTGCACAGCTGTGTCTGTCCCCATCGTGACACCAAAAGTACTCTCGGCATCGGTCACAGTGAAGCTCAGTGCTGAAGTGAATTGCCCAGGGCACCCATTTAAGGAGTGAAAGAGCTGGGACCAGAGCCACAGGGCCTGAACTTCTCTCAAAATCCCTTTTCTCCACTTCTTGCTGATTGATGCCCAAAGCTTGTAAGCCAAGTAGAAAATAATTTGCCGGAAATAGACTCAGGAAGTAGTTTTTATTAAGAGAAGAAGCCCAGTCACTGTAGATTTTTTTTTTTCCTTTTTGCCGATGATGCTCACAATATCAGCAAATCAGAGAAGTGGTTGTTAAAGCAGGTAGCTGCTATTAGGCCAGAGGACAGGGACTGAGTGGGGCAGTTCTAACAAATTCTCAGGTGATGCCAACCTAGGTGCTTTGCCCTCGGTGTGTGTTAATGTTTAGCTTATTTCCATTCACTTAGAAATACTTAACCCTTTCTACATAGGTCATTTCATCACAAATAAAGCAGTGTAAACCACTGAAGTCAGTCCTGAGATTGCTCTGTCATCCTTTAATGGCTTATGGAATAGAATTTCTTAACCAGGATTTGATTCTGAGAAAGTTTTGTGATATGGGAAGAGGGACCCATTGTACTTGTCACCTTGGATTTGGGTGGCACATCGTACTTCATATCCAGGCAGTCACAAACGCACCTCTGCTTAGTACACTGCATTGCAGAATTGTCTGTTAGTGGCACGATGGTAGGTGTAGGATGAAAAGGCAAAGCTACCACTATCCTCACACTCCAGTTACTGGGGAGACGCTGATGTCTAAAAAGATGGCCTGTGTCGCCAGGTGCTCAAAGATTGAGCCAGCAGTGCCATGAAGAAAGGCTCATGTTTTGAGTTCTGATGTCCTCTGGAGCCACACAGCTGGAAAACAGCAGAAGATGCCAACAGCCCATGTTTTCCACACCAGCTTGTTTTCTTGCTTTCCGAATGTGTGAGCCCTGAAGTCTAAATGAACTATAAAAATAGCAAGTGTGCCAGTGTTAGCACTACTTATTTTGTGTGTGTGCTATTTAAAAGAAAAGGCAACTGTAACAGTAAAGGGTTAGCCTCTTGCTGGCTAATAGTTCGTTCGGGTATCACATAAACGGATAAATAAGCATGATCTCATAAAGAAAAATTTGTGCATTTGCACTAAGTTGAGTGAGACAGTGTATTTGTAAGATTCTTGGTTTGTCTTTGAATAAATATGGTCTTTACTGTTAAGTTTTTAAAATAGGTAAAAACTTATAGCTTCTTACTAAAGCTGAAATATAAAGTATTGATTTTTTAAAAATTTTATTCCTTAAAATGTGTTGCAATTTGGAAATGGGCGTTGATTTTCCACTGGTTTGGAATCTGTTCTATTCATCATAAAGTTCCAAAAGCATCAGAATGTGGGTCTTTTGAGGTGGGAGTGAGGGCAGTGCCCCAAGCAGGAGACCAGGGGACCTGTGCAGCGTTTTGCAGACAAGGCTTCTCCCATTTTCTTACAAGTGTTAAAGTACCTATTAGTAGTCTCTTCATGAAGATTCAGTCACTTTATAAAGCTGTTAAACTATTAAATATTTCTAAGCGGTGTGCCAATTTGGAGAAAGTATAACACCTATGTTTGTTTACATTTTCTTTGGTCAGTTTAAACTACTCCCTCTGTAAGCATACTTCTATTCTACATCTGTAAGCCACTGAGTTAGAAATGAAATGAAGCTTGCATGTAGCAAATGGAAAAAGCACGCTATTATACCTTATTACTTTAGCACATGTGAATTCTGTGGTTTTTAAATTCTAGGCATAGTTGGTTCTGTGGAAAATCCCTGCTTTTAAAATTGGAAAAATGGATTAATCCTCATATATAGTGTTGAAAAAACAGAATCAAGATGGAAAGAAAATCTTTGGGGCCGGTTAGAGTTGAAGACAGTTTCATTTCAATGTGAAATGTATATTTTTTGAGAGTCAGAATATTGACTCTGCATTATAGTGTATATGTTGTCTGTAATACATTTTAAAACTCAGTTATTGCCTTAGTATTTTAGAAACAACATGTTTAATCTGTGACATTAAATTTTTTTTTTTTTTTTTTTTTTTTTTTTTTTGGTATCGGGGATCAAACTCAGGACCTTCCACTTGTGAGGCAGGTGGCAGAACCTAAATCTCTGGCCCAACATTAAAACTTTTGATAGGCAAGCACTCTTTGTGTACTTAAAGATGCGTATGAACACGAGCATTAGGCTTCATTGAGTAGATATTTATGCTTGGTCTTTTACATAAGGGGCCGGTTTGTCACCTGTCTGTGGTCACTCCAAGTCCTGAGACTTACTGGGGTTATCTGGCTTGGTATGTGCCCATGGTGATTTCAATGTGGGATTCTCAAACTGATGCCTCCCTCTGGGGAACAATATCCTGTCTACCTGGAGATGTCAGCTTATCTCTTTCTTCTATGAAAGAAAGAAGAGAAAATCCTGGTGGGACCAAAGACCAAAAAAAAAGTGTTTTCTTTTTCTGTTCCTCCTTGGAACAGCTAATTGTTTGGATTTGCCTGTTTTTTTTTTTTTAGTAGGAAATTAAACTTCGATATAGTGCAGTTCTATTTCAATAGTCTAAAGGGGGCAATTAAAAAAGAGAAAAGGATACCTTCTGTTGTTTGGTTGAGTCTTCTAGATACTGAGGTTGGAAAAACATTTTCTAGCTTCTGTCTATACTGTGTATTGTATAGTTCTTTTAAGAGATGCCAAGAGCAAATGGGTGGATGTGGCAAAAGTGTTTGGCTCAGGTAAAATCTGTTTTTAATGTAGTTTTATATGTCAGGCGCTATTCTGAGCATGTTAATATTGTAAGCTTCATTATATAGAGGAAGAAACTGAGGCATAAGAAAAGTGTACTTGTAAAAGTCTACAAAGCTAGGTGGCAGACCTGAGGTTCGAACACAAACACTTTGGCTTTGAACTGATGCCATTAGCTGTTGTGCTGTCCTGCATGTTTACGTGTAACCTTGAATTTCAGCTTCCAGCCAAGATGGAGTAATAGGAACCAAACTAACATGTGTTCCTGAAACAAGTAAAACGGGAGAAAAATCTGTGCAACAATGGTCTTTTAAGACTTCAGACCTCAGACGACGAAGGGACGGTAAGCTGAGAAGAGAACTGAAATGAGCTCTGGAGTGATCTCCTTAGTGCCCCGAGAAGGTTTGCGGCTCTGAACAGGGAGGGGAAACTCGGAACCCATTGTACTCTGACTGAGATGAAGCACATAGTGCCAGATCAAGGACTAGAGATGGTGGACTTTACAAGACAAGTTTGCAGCACCATTTGTACTTCAGTATAATGCATGAGAGATTAAATATTTTCCAGAGAATACTCACTAGTAGATAACACAATGAATACCCCACACCTTGAACGTGTTTTGCAGAGTTGTTCACTGGTCTTTTGTTTCTTTTCTTTCTTTCCTTTGCTTTCCCATGATCATCAGTTATGATACATCTTAGCAGATTCCACCTCAGATTGTCTTGAAATAGTTTTTCTCATTTTGAAAATATTATCTTTCAGAATTTGCCCAATCACATCGATGAATCAAGGGTTCTAATTTTTCAGTTTTTGCAGATTTATCACTGATTCCTTGAATAAAAAACCACAGTAACAGTGTTGTGTGAACTCAAGAGAATTATCAAAATAATTTTCCTTGTTTCTTAATTGACTTGATGTAGCCCAGTGTTTTGAATTTCTCAAGTGTTTGTTCTCACTAAAAGACTAATCTCTACAAAGTTTATTTTCTTCTAGACATATCTTTGGCTAACGTAGTCAAAAGCAGCTTAATTGACATTTAATATTTTTCCTTTCTTGGCTAAAAAAAATCTCAAGCTTGGGTTGCAATCTCATTTTTATTTTTGTGAAATTCCGCTATAATAAAATAATTCTAAATTCTGACTTGTGAGTTGGGAATAGTTCCATGAGCGTGTAGTTTTGGATGCTGACATTTTGTATGCTCATCTATTAATGTCATCACACCATCAGCATAATGCCCTGTCCTCCAAATCACTTGGGAAGTTCTGAGGCATCTACTGTCTTACAGCCACTTGGTTCTGTCTTTGCAGCAGGAAAGTAGTTGGAGACTATGAGTGAGTGAGTGTATCTCTGTCCCAGTAAAACTTTATGAACACCAACACTTTGATTTCAGTAATATTCACATTTCACAAGATACTATTCTTTTGATTGTTTCCATCATTTAAAAATATAAAACCATTCTTGCCTCATGAGCCATATAAAAACTGGAGGTAGACTTTATTTTTCCATAGGCTATCATTTCCTGACCACAGATAATTTTGAGAAAGTCAATTTTAACCTGACACATGTTTTGATTTTTCTCCTAGTTTGGTAAATTGTATTTGTGCATGTCTGTGTGTGTATGGTGATGACATATAGTACAACTGCTTTTTGGCTAAAACTTTTTTAAGATTAGGGGAAAGTGTACCATTATTATTATTAAGGGATAAATATAGGCACTTTCAGTCTTTATGAATACCGAAGTGATGATTTGTAACTGGCAAAAAATAAAAAAATAAAGCAAACCTTAAAATTGTATGGATGTGGGGAGCCCGTCTGTGAGGCACTGTAGGAGCAGTCTGTGTTGGTTGTCCTTAGCCTGCTGGCCATGAGTGGCACCTGAGTTTCAGTAAAGTCTCTTAGTTGGAAATAAATGGGCATCTGAATATTCTCCTGGAGGAAGTTTCTGACATAGGTACAACAGTGCTTGTCAGACACAGCTGGGGAGTACGGTAGGCTACAGCAGATAGCATAGGTGAGAAAAATCTCTGTGAAAGAGATGCTTGTAGGTCATTTGGGGTTTTGCAAAGGTCATAGACTTCGAAGATCATGAGCAAATAAATCAAATGTTGATATATGCATATCAAACTGAATTTAATCCTTGTAAGCAATAAAACTTGGTCTTGTGTGTATATTTTAATGACTTAAATAGCTTTGTCTTCATCATTGCTGTTGGCTTTGTTTGAACGCTCTAGATTGTCTCTTATAAGTATATTCACTCTTTTCTTCTGATTTTGGTACCAGGGATTGAACTTAAGACCTCGCACTTGCCATAGGTGCGGTGCCACTGAACTAATCCCTAGCCCTTCAGCTTTCAAACATAATTCCCAATTTATAGAATATGTCAGAGTAGGTCATTTATTGATGAAAATATGAAAATCTATTTGAAGGAAGAAAGCAAGCATGGCTTGAAGTACGTTTGTTTTGCATGGTAAGGAATCTTTACAATAGGTCATACAAACTTATTTGATAAAATGTTTAATATTTAAATAATTTTGAAAATAGACATTTGAATTTATTTTTCCATTAAGTTTATTATTAATTTTTTGTACCAGGAATCGAACTAGGGTTCTTGCGCTTGCAAGGCAGGCAGCTGAACCACTAAGCTAAATCCTCGGCTCCATTAAGTTTATTGATACTTTTTAGATATACAGTTTAGTTACATTCATCATTGGGATCTTGAACCTTTACATCATGTATCTTGGTTCTTATTTTTTCCCCATACCCCTGCCTTCCCCTCACCCACTCCACCCGTGGCTATTTACAAAGACTTTGTTTCCATTTTTTCCTTTTCTAATATTTTTTCTTTTTCCTTTCCTTTTCCCTACCTTCCCACTTCCTTGTTCCTTTAGCCCTTTTTTTCCTATTTCATATTATCAATTATACAATTTGAACCTTATTTACACTTTCAGTTTTTCACACCAGAGAAACTATTTGGTATTTACATGTGTGTCCTATTTATTTCACTTAAGAGTATGGCTTCAATATGCAGCCATTTTCCTATAAATGACTCCAGTTTCTCATTGTTTATGGTTGAGTAGTACTCCATTTTATAGAAAAACCTTATCATCTCATCCAATCTCCAGTTGATGGGCAATTGGGCTGTTTCTAAGATTTAGCTATTACAAACTGTGCTGCTATAAACATGGGTGCACATATATTGCTGTAGTAAGATTTTTAAAATTTCTTTTGGAAAGATACCCAGCAGAGCAATAGCTGGGGCAAATGAAATTTCTAATCCTAGTTGTCTGAGTTATCTCCATAATGATTTCCACAGTGGTTACACCAGTCTGCACTCCACCAACAATGGAGAAGGGTTCCTATCTCTCCACAGCCCCTCCAGCATTTGTTTATTGAGTGATTTCTTGATAGAAGCCGTTTTTTCTGGGGTGAGGTGGAATCTCAGTGTTGTTTTCATCTGCATCTCTCAAGTGATGTTGAAATTTTTCATATATTTGCTGCTTTTATGTGTTTTTTTGAGAAATGTCTTCATTTCAGATGCCCACTTTTGAGTTGGGTTTTTATATTTGGGGGGGGATCTCGTTTTTTTTTAGTTCTGCTAGATAGCAGGCCTCTGAGGAACATCTGGTAAACATTTTTTCCCACATTATAGGTTGTCTCTTAGCTCTGGTGGTGGTTTCTCTTGCAGTGCAGAAGCTTTTTATTAAGATGAGATTCCCCGGTTGTTGATTCTTTGTGCTAGTTCTCTTGCTACTGAGGATTTTTGTTCATAAAGTCTTTTTCTATGCCAATGTCTTCGAGAGTTCTACCCAATTTATCTTCCTGCAAGTTTGGTGTTTCTGTTTTAATATTTAGATCTTTAATCCACTTAGATTTTAGTTTAGTTCATGGTGAAAAATAAGGGTCTAGTTTTAATCTTTGGCAGGTTGAAATCCAGTTGTTCCAACACCATTTATTGAAGAAGCTATCTTTCCTCCAGTGAGGATGGTTGGCTCCTTTGTCAAAGATAGGTAGGTGAGTAGATCTGGAGTTGTCTGTATCTTTCAATCTATTCCACTGATCCTCGAGTCTGTTTTTTTTCCAGTACCATGCTGTTTTTATCACAGTGCCTTTGTAGTGTAGTTTGAAGTTGGGGATTGTGATTTCCCCCTGCCATGTCTCTCTTGCCTAGAATGGCTTTTGCTATTCTAGGTCTCTTCTGGATCCAAATGAATTTTTGAATTGTTTTCTCAAGTTCTGTGAAATATACTCTTGGGATTTCAATCCAGGTTGCATTGAATCTTTGTAGCAGTTTCGGAAGTAGGGCCATTTTCACTGTTCGTTCTTCCTACTCAGGAACAGAGGATGTCTTTGCATTTTTCTTATATCTTCGATCTCTATTTTTCAGAGTGCTGTAGTTTTCATTGTAGAGGTCTTTTGTTTCCTTTGTTAGATTGATGCCTAGATACTTCATTTTTTTAGATGTTATTGTGAAGGGAATTGTTTCCCTAATTTCTCTCAGTGAGTCTGTTATTTGTGTACAAGAAGGCTATTGATTTTTGAGTGTTGAGTTTGTATCCAGCTACTCTGCTGAATCTGCCAATTAAGCGTAGAAGTCTTTGGGCAGTTTTTTGGGTCTTCTATGTAGAGCATTATATCGTCAGAAAATAATGACTGTTTAACTTCTTCCTTTCCTACCTTTATTCCTTTTATTTCTCTTATCTAATTGCTGTGGCTAATCTTTCCAGAACTATATTTAACAGGAGTGATGACAGGGGACATCCTTGTCTTGTTCCTGATTTCAGTGTGAAAGTTTTCAGTTTTTGACTATTTAGTATGATGTTAGCTGTTGGTTTTTCATAGGATAGCCTTTATCAAGTTGAGATAACCATTTATTCTAATTTTCTGCAGGGTTTTTTTTTGTCTTGAATGGGTGTTGAATTTTGTTGAATGCTCTTTCTGCATCTGTTGAGATGATCATGTGGTTTTGGTCTTTGACTCTTTAATATAGTGTATCATATTATGTTGACTTGTTTTATGTTGAACCGTCCTTACATCCCTGGGATAAATCCAACTTGGTCAGGGTGTATGATCTTCTTGATGACCCTCTGTATTCTGTTTGCCAGTATTTCACTGAGGATTTTTGCATTGTGTTCATTAGGGAGATTGGCCTGTAGTTCTCTTTTTTGGTTGGATCTATTCCTTGGTTTTGGAATCAAAGTAACACTTGCTTCTAGGAATGAATTTGGAAATATTGTTCCCCTTTAAATTTCATTGAAAAGTTTAAAGAGTAGTGGCAATAGTTTTTCTGTAAATGTTTTGTAGAATTCAGTAGTGAAGCCATCAGGATCTAGGCTTTTCTTTATC